AGAGAGAAACATTGATCAGCTGCCTCCTGCACGCCCCCTACTGGGGATGTGCCAGCAACCAAGGTACATGCCCTTGACCGGAATCGAACCTGGGACCCTTCAGTCTGCAGGCCGACGCTATATCCACTGAGTCAAACCAGTCAGGGCTCTTTAGAAGGAAGATAAAACAACCTCAAAAAGAATGATGTATATAACAGATTAATTTCCAGAGCATTCCCAGATGCCATTTATGTTGCAAGTCTTCCTTCCTGAATTGTTTTCAATTTTCAATTGAGGGGATATTTTAAAACAAATAGATGAACCCGGTGAAAAGGAGAAAGAGAGTGAGGAGGGAGTGTGGGAAAGTGAAGCTTTGTAATGACTTCCATGTGAGGACAGCCTGGAACCCCTTTCTCCAACCTCAACTTCCATCCTTTCTTTCACTTTATGGTTGGAACACATCATAATTCCCCAACTTGTACACCATTTCAAGCCTCTGGTGTCTTACTTGGACTACTCTGTGTCCATGTAGAGTTCTTTTTCCCTCCTTTTGGTATGGATTCAAAACCCTCTGCCTTTCTCCTTTCCTTCTTCTAGGAAAAAAGAAGAGAGGAGAAGAGCCCTGACAGGTTTGGCTCAGTGGATAGAGCGTCAGCCTGCGGACTGAAGGGTACCGGGTTCGATTCTGGTCATAGGGTGGAGAGGAGGAGAAGGGAGAGGAGGAGAAGGGATAAGAGAAGAAGGGAAAGGAGGAGAAGGGGGAGAAGGAGATGGGAGAGGAGGAGAAGGGAAAGGAGGAGAAGGGGGGAAGGAGATGGGAGAGGAGGAGAAGGGAAAGGAGGAGAAGGGGGGAAGGAGATGGGAGAGGAGGAGAAGGGAAAGGAGGAGAAGGGGGGAAGGAGATGGGAGAGGAGGAGAAGGGAAAGGAGGAGAAGGGGGGAAGGAGATGGGAGAGGAGGAGAAGGGAGAGGAGAAGGTTGTTCCTACAACCAAGATGGCAGATCTGTCTTCTCCTAGGGCAGTGGTTGGCAAACAGCGGCTCGCGAGCCACATACAGCTCTTTGGCCCCTTGAGTGTGGCTCTTCCACAAAATACCATGTGTGGGAGTGCACGTACAGTGCGATTGAAACTTCATGGCCCATGCGCAGAAGTCGGTATTTTGTGGAAGAGCCACATTCAAGGAGCCAATGAGCCGCATGTGGCTCGCGACACAC